AAGAATGATATGTTGTCCTTCTGTATCTCTAACTTCAGTCTTTAGCTTAAAATCTAATTTGTCTGATATGAGAATTGCTACCCCAGCTTTCTTTTGAGGTCCGTTTCCATGAAGGATGGTTCTCCATTCCTTCATTTTCAGTCTGGATGTATATTTAGGTTCAGAATGAGTCTCTTGGATTCAGCATATGGATGGGTCCTGTCTTTTTATCTAATCTGCAACCCCGTGCCATTTTATGGGAGCATTTAGGCCATTCACATTGAGAGTGATTATTGAAAGATATGATTTATTGTCATCATGTTGCCTGGGAAGTCCTTGTTTCTATAGATTACCCCTGTAAAGTTCTGTTCTATATCACTCTTGGGGCCTTTCTCCTTTTATAGAACCCCCCCTTAATATTTCTTGCAGGGCCAGCTTAGTGGTCACATATTTCAGTTTTTGCCTGTCCTGGAAGTTCTGTATCTCTCCATCCATTCTGAATGACAGCCTTGCCAGACAAAGTATTCTTGGCTGTATGTTCTTTTCATTTAATACACTGAGTATGTTTTGCTAGCTCTTTTTTGGCTTGCCGGGTCTCTGTGGATAGGTCTGACATTATTCTGGTATTCCTCCCTCTGTACGTAAGGAGTCTCCTCCCCCTGAATGCCATTAAGATGGTTTCCTTGGTTCTAAGATTTGCAAGTTTTACTATTACATGCCAGGGCATTGGTCTGTTCCCCATGCTCTTGGACAGGGGTCCTCTCTGCCTCTAGGACACAAATGTTTGTTTCATTCCCCTGATTAGAGAAATTCTCAGCTACAATTTGGTCAAATATATCTTCTAGTCGTCTCTCTCTCCACCCCCTCAGGGATCCCAATAATTCTGACATTGGAATGTTTCATGGTGTCATTTATTTCTCTAATTCTGTTTTTATGGGTTCTAAGCTGTTTGTTCCAGGCCTCCTTCTCATCCTTCTTTTCTATCAGTTTTTCTTCTAGATCACCTATTCGTTTTTCTGTCTCACTTACCCTAGCTGTCAGAGTACTAGATTAGAGTGGATCTCACTGATAGCATTTTCAAGTTCTGCCCCTTAGAGAATATATGTTGCCGTTAATGGTTTTCTCCATCCTAGCAATTGTCTGCATAACTGTTACTCTGAAATCTATTTCCAACATCTTGGTTATGTCCATATCCATTAGTTCTGTGGCAGAGGTCACAGTCTCTGAGTCTTTCCTATTTTTGGGGTTCCTCCTCTTCGTTGTTCTGTTGAGGGGTGGTTGAAGGAATGCACAGAATCCAAATTGTTGACCACACCCCAAGCAAAATGCAAGATGAGTTTTATAGGGATCTTAAGGTTGTTGACCTCTTGTTCTTCCAGCCTGTCTTTTAGGGGAGGGGCCTGCCACATTATTATTCAAGCAACCCTGTTTGGGCAGAATTGCCCTGTCCCTGTGGTGAGGGATGGGCTCAGTGAAAACTGGTTTTGGAGGCTTTTGTTCTCTGGCAGATTTCCCTGTCTCTTCCAAGAGTCAGAGCAGAAGTGGCCATATCCAGACCTTTGCCTCAGAACAGAGAGATCACAGTCTGTTCTTCAGTGAACTTTCCAGGCTACACTGTCTCTGTTACTGTCTGTGCTGCTAAAAACTACAGCATCCTGGGTTGTGTGCCCCACAGCAGCACACCCAGCTGTTGCTTCCAGGTCAAGGCACATCTCTGTCCTTTGTGCTTTTAAAACTGCCAGCCGCCCCCAGTTCACACGCATGCCCCCGCAGCTCCAGGTTTCAATATGGGGGGCTGTTCTTAAATGCTTTCCCCATCACTACTGGTTCAGGAGTCTGTACCTGGTCCCCAGCATGGGAGGGTTTTGTGCTCCCACAGCACAGGAACCTGGAGGCTCCCTCCCCCTTCCATTTATCTTCCGATATCTGCCCGCAGAATCATAGCTCCCTGCTTCATACCTTGAGATCAACTGCTGGAGATAATATTCTGTTTGTAGAGATCCAGATATATCTTCTTGCATCTCAGGTTGATTTGGGAGATTTGGGTGTTCAGAGTAGTCTGGTAGATATCCAGCTCAGTTCAGGGGACTGATTGAAGTAGGGTTTCCTACTCCTCTGCCATCTTTGCAACCTTCTGAAATTTGGAGTTTTGAAACTTGGTCACATGCCTGAGATAAAATGGCTTGGACATGGGAAACATGAGCATAAGGGTCAGATGGAAACAGAGGACACAAGTAGGGTGACTTATTGCTCTTCTATGGGGGTTCACTGAAGAGTAGGGGTGCAAACTTTCAGCTCAGAGGCTAGAGAACAGGGCACAGCAATTTTTATCCTGACCATCAGTGCTGAGAGCCTTCAGGGAAAAAAAACCCAACAACACAGCACCATCTAATGAAGGCTATGACCACATACACCTAGCCCTGCAGCCCCCTTGTGCCCTGGGGACACATTCCCACAGAAACAAGTCACCCTGAGAATCAGCATAGCAGGACTCTCCCCCAGAAGACCAGCACACCACCAATTAGCATGCACCAAAGTTATTAAACACAGAGTGCAGCAAGCTTTAGCTCTAGGGGAAATAGGATGTAGCTTTCTTTTTCCTTTTATTCCTTTATTGTTATTTTCATTTATTGCATTTTCCAATTCCTTTAAAAATCTTCTATTATTTATTAATATTTATATTTACATATGCATACAATTTTTTGTTTAATTTAATTTAATTTAATTTAATTTTTTTATTTTGGGACATAGTTTAACAAGCAAACCAAAACACATACTCAGTATTTTTTTCTTTTTTTGTTTTTGTTTTTCTTGCCCCCCCCCTTTTTGTTTTACTTTGTTGTTTTTATTTTTTGTTCTTTTTCCTCTCTTTTTTTTTCTTTTCTGGACAAAATGATGAGATGGTGGAATTCACCCCAAAAGAAAGAGCATGAGGTAGAACTCATGGTCAGAGATTTAATCAATACAGATATAAGATATCTGAACTATAATTTAAAACAACAGTTATATGGATACTAGCTGGGCTTGTAAACAACAGAGAAGAAACTAAAGAATCCCTTACTATAGAGATAAAAGAAGTAAAATCTAGACAGACCAAAATTAAAAATGCTAACCAAGATGTAGTCCCAAGTGGGGCCATAAACACAAGGATGGATGAAGCAGAAGAGTGAGTCAGTGACATAGAAGATAAAATTATAGAAAATAATGAAGCTGAAAAGAGGGGGTAGAGAAAACTATCAGATCATGGAGTTAGACTGGAATATTAGTTAGTGGAATATTACTCAGCCATCAAAAGAATGAAATTGCAAGTACATGAGTGGAACTAGAGGGTATTAAGCTAAGCGAAATACATCAGTCAGAGAAAGACAAATACATGACTTCACTCATATATGGAATTTAAGAAGCAAAACAGATGAGCATAGGGGAAGGAAGGAAAAAAAATTAAAATAAGATAAAAAAGAAGCAAACCATAAGAGACTCTTATCTATAGAGAAAAAACTGAGGATTGCTTGAGGGGCAGTGAGTAGGAGGATGGGGTAACTGCATGATGGACATTAAGGAGGGAACTTGATGGAATGAGGACTGGGTGTTATATGCAACTGATGAATTACTAAATTCTATCCCTGAAACAACACACTACATGGTAAATAACTTGAATTTAAATTTTAAAAATCATATTAAAAACACAACCCTCTCTCTCCTTCTCCCTCTGCCCCTCCCCTGCTTTCTCTCCCTTAGAAAAAAAAAAGAATTTAAAAATTAAAAAATGGATTGTTAACAAATACATGAAAGCATAATTCATAGTTCATGAAAGTATAATTCTTTTTTGTATATTGACTTTGTGTGGTACAAACTTGCTAAACTCATTAGAATTTTCCAATTCTATTTGTTGATTCCTTAAGAATTTCTCTAAACAAAATTTGTCATCCATGAAGAACACTTTTATTTTTCCTTTTAGTCTATTTGTATGTAATTGAATTTGGAATAATTTCAATAACTTTATTGATGTGAGAGTGGATATCTTTGTCTTGTTCCCAGTCTTAAGGGGAAAATGTTCAGTTTTTCATGAAAAGTATGATGTGAACTATAGTTTTTTTCTTTAATAAGCGTCTTTTCTTCCAAAGTAGTATCTTTTATTCCCTTGTATATTATGTTGGTTTTTTCCTATCATTTCACCATTCCAGTGTTTCATATATTTTTTTGCCTGATGTTCTTGCTTTTTGCCCCTACCAGGCATTTGGTCTACTTTTTACTATATACATTTTGCCTAGGAGAGTGCTCAGTAATTATCTTGTAAACAGTGACCAGATCAGCTAGTATATTTTCTCATTATTTCATTTTAGCCTTTGATTACTGATTCTATTTCTTTGCTGGTTGTGGGTCTGTTTAGGTTGTCTGTTTCTTTCTGTTTCGGTTTTGGTAGTTTATATATTTCTAGGAATGAATCCATTTCTTCCATACTGCCTAATTTCTTGGCATATAATTGCTCATAATATTCTCTTATAATTCTTTGTATTTCTTTAGTGTCAAACAACAGGTTTTTATTTCAAATGTTCAATTATGTTGAACAAAAGCCCTAAATTGTATTATTAAAATTAATATAAGCATGTTTATATTGTCATTAAAAGAATTTTATTATATAAAAATACAAAATATGTTAAATATTGAGGCTTAAAAAACTTAATATTCAATGGTCTGGCATTGGGAAAATAAATAAAATAAACACAGTTCTTATGTTTAAAGATTTAATGAAGTTCATAAGATAGATAAATAATAGGTCTTGTTTAAAACAGGATAGAATGTTATAAAAAGATTTTAGATTTTTTTATTACAAGAATTTTCTTGGTAAAATTTAAAAAGTATGGTTAATCATTAGTATGTTTTGCAATGCAATGAATATTTTTTTTAAATGTGCCTATTTTTTTCCATAATTCTTTTAAATCTCTTTTCAAAACCCATACATTAGCAGAAATGCAGAGATATACAGCAATAATTTTTGTCGTATTTTTAAAATATTTTAGGCAGTCTGGGGGTGTAAAGGAGTTTAGCACCTGTAGTTTGGATGACTTTAAATACTTAGCTTCACAATCTGGCTTTGAATGTCTTCAGAAAATCCTTCCTGAAATGCCAGTTTATAAAGAAGCACAAAGGAAAGTATGCGGCAATGGAAAATTGGAACATGGTGAAGAGTGTGATTGTGGCATTATAGAGGTTAGTAGAAATTTTTTTGGTTTTTATGTATGTGTTTATATGTATGTGTTTATAGATAAGAAGTATGTGTATATATCTGTATAATAGCTAAAAAAGGTGAGACTTTGTCTTTCAGAACAATAAATTTGAAAAAGACCTTTGGGGAAGATGGAAGCCTTTAAGTTTCCTAATTTTGCTATTTTTTGAAGTGGACAGCAAAAGCCTTTTAGATAATGTTTAACTTCAGAGATTGCCTTCTGACATTCTTTAGTGTACTATTTGGAGTGTCAACTCCAAACTCATAATTATTTACCACAAAGGTGGTCTAAGGAGCTAAAGAAATATGCCTTTAACAACAAGCAGGAACAAAAACAGGAAAATCTAAAGGCAACAGACTATTACCAGTGAAACAGCAAAATGCATTGCTTGCTGTATAAAGTGAAATGTTTTCTGTTGACAGGTGATGCCAATTAAAAGTGTTTTTTAACAAATCTATCACCTGTAGAAAATACAAAAATGTAGAACTAAGATCAAACCAAAAGAAAGATGAAAGATGATAGAGGAGCTATTGACAATAAAGTAAAGTAGTCACATGGAAACTCTCAAGAGATAGCAGTTGTAAAATATGAAACATTATTAAAAAATTAATATGTATTATTAAAATAAGTGATATACAAAGATATGTAATATACTATATATTATTATATTATAAATGTTATACATGTAAACATTTATATATAGATATATTATATATCTATATGTAAATAATAATTTATATATAATATATATAATATATATAATATATAATATAGAATAATATATAATAATTTATATATACACAATATATTACATACTATATATTATTCATATATAATATATAAATATAATAAATATATATTTATATATTATAAATATATTTTATAATATAAAAATATATGTTATATCTATATATAATGGAAAATATTTAAAAGAAGAAGCCAGAGGAGAGTTTACTCTTGAAAACTGCAGCTTCAATTAATAAGGATTGTGAGTTTATATCTTTCTAGCATAAGAGTGCTCCTCTAACTCCACAGCTGTGGCAGAATTAAATAGCTGTGGAAAACTGCAGCTCTACTGATTCAATGTGAAAGAGAACAGATTTCAGAGATGAGAACCACTGGAAATTTAAGGGGAAAACCCTGAAAGAGAGAGAATTGTGAAAGTGGTAAAACCTAAAATCTGATGATAAATTTTAAACACATTTGGCTGACTGCTAAAATATGCATGGCCTAGACATACCCTATAGGGCAAAAAATGTAGGGTGAGACCCTTGAAAGACACAGGTGTACCAGGTGAGCCCTGTGAGTTTGAGACTGGGACTGCAACTGGAAATTAAAGAGGAATCTTAAGAAACAAAGAAATTACACATAGTTTGTACTCTGAAATCTAAGTGCTATTTCTACCTAAATCCTTGGCTGAATGTCACATTATGGCAGGGAATCAGGCTAAAAATTCAGAGATTTGAAGACATATAAGTTGAGCAGAAATAGCTATGGCACACTATAGGGGAGATAAAGCTTACAGTTTATATCCCGGTTACTTAATTCCCTATAGGGGGGGAAAAAAAAAGCATCCAGAAAGATAGCTGAATACAGGCATTATATCATTGTATCTATAATGTTTAACTTACTAACCAAAAATTTACTAGACAGAGAATTATTACAGAAAATGTGAACCATATTTAGGAAAATAAGCAGTTAAGGAAAACTGATTCTGAAAAATCCAAGATATTGTATTTAGCAGATAAAGATTTCACAGTAGTTATTTTGAATATATTAGGAGCATTAAAGGAAATCATGCCGAAATAATTTAAGGAAAAATTATCCTAGTGAGATATATATATATATATATATATATATATATATAGAGAGAGAGAGAGAGAGAGAATCTCAACAGATATATGTTAAGCATAAAAAATATAAATTTAAAGTCTACAAGTGAAAAGTAATAAATGAAACAAAACAGAAGCAGAAGAATCAATGAACTTGAACAAAAGCAGAATAATCAATGAACTTGATCAGTGGAACAATAAGAACATATACTCTATGGAACAGAGAGAAAAAGAGTTGAAGAAAGATAACAAAACCTTAGATACCTGAGAAGAAATATTAAGTACCAAATGTAGGTGTAATTGGATTTCAAGATAAAGAAAAGAGAGAGTAGGTGGAAGAAAAAAAATCTGCATGAATAATGCTGATTATTTTCCAGATTTGAAGGAAAACATTTACTTACAGACCCAAGATGCTCAGCATTATAATCATAAGCAGATAGACACACACAAAAAACACACTTCTATATACAGTTCAATAAAACCTCCCAAAGTCCCAAGATAAAAAGAAAACTTAATTTCAGCCTAAAGACAGACACATTAGGTACATGATACAATGATACAAAATATAGCTGATTTCTTATAACCAATAATGGAGGTCAGTAGACTTTGAAATGACAAACTAAAAGTGCTGAAGGAAAGAAAGTCAAGAACCAGGACTCCTGGGTGGCTCAGTCATTGAGCATCTGCCTTCGGTTGGGGCTCAGGTTGTGGTCCAGCGGTCCTGGTATTGAGCCCCGTATCTGGCTCCACACTCAGCGGGGGGCCTGCTTTTCCCTCCCCCATTCCCCCTGCTTGTGTTCCCTCTCTGGCTGTCTCTCTCTCTGTCAAATAAATAAAATCCTAAAAAACAAAAACAAAAACAAAAACAAAAACCCTCTCTCTTTCAAAAGGCGAAAGATTTATGCCATCTGAAGAGAAACCAGAGTATAACCCTCTCTCTTTCAAAAAAAAAAAAAAAAAAAGAACCAAGCTATCTATATTCAAAGATATTATTCTTTAAAATGGAAATAAAGTTATTCTCAGTTAAGCAAAAGCAGAGAAAATATGTCATAGTAAGCTTGCACTACAGAAAACCTTAAGAACTTAAAATGTTTTAGACTGAAGGACCAGTGCAGTAGGTGATCAGTCTGAGCTATAAGAGGATGAACACAGGAATTGGTAAATATGTGAAGGGATATAAATAATTATTTGTATGCTTTTTCTTTTCTGCTCTTAATTTTACAAACAACATTGTATACATGCATAGATATGCAAATACACATACTTATTCACTATGCATTCATATATACATAATACATATATGAACATATAAATGCATATTTACATGTGTATATATTATGTACACACATATATGTATGGGTATGTATGTGTTTATGGATGCATATACATATGCATATAAATACAAATATACATACATATGCATGTGTGTATGTATGTGTATCTACATCTATACTATAACAACAACAGCATGAAATATGGAAGGGTACATTAAATAAGTTGTTGCAACGTTTCTATAACTTACCTGAAGAAAATCAGTATTAACTTTAAGTAGATTATAGTCTTATAGATACTTATTATAAATCCTAGAGCAAATATTGAAAAAGTATGCAGAGATACAACTACAAAAGGCAATAGAGGATTTATTGGCTAAACACTAAACGTATTTCACCAACAAAAAATAAGACAAGAAGGGAAGAATTGAGGAACAAAAACAAGATGAGATAGAAACAAACAACAAAATAACAAATTGAAATACATGTTAATTACATTAAATATAAAGAGGGCAGACACTCTAATCAAAAGGCCAAGGTTGTCAGACTAAATAAAAACTGAGAAATAATCACATGCTAAATCACATTCTAAAATCACGTTTTAACGCTAATACTCTGTATAATATAAAAATAATGGAATGGAAAAGGATATAACAGGCAAACAGTAAATACAAGGGAGCTATAGTGACTATACTAATATATAAAATAAAGATATAATACTTCATAATGAAAAAAGGATAAATACATAAGGAGGATATAATAATAAATATATAAATAAGTCTTCAAAATTTATGAGGCAATCACTGGCAGAACTAAAGGGAGAAACTGGCAAATCTACTATCATATTTGAGATTTATTTCACATCTCTCAGTAACTGATAGAACAACTAGACCAAAAATCATTAAGGATATGGAAGACCTGAACAATACCACCAATCACCTTAATATGATGATATTTATAGGCTACCATGTTTAACAGCCTAAATATAAAAATTCCTTTCAAGAGAACTTGGAATATTAATCAGGATAGAATATTTGAGGCATGAAATAAATCTCAATGTATTTATTTTGTGTTGAAAATTCAATCAGAAACCAAGAATAATAAAATAACTTGAAAAGTCCCCAAATATTTGGAAATTAAACTACTACTTCTAAATGGCCCTTAGCTCAAAGAAAAATTACAAAAACAATTTTAGGATATATTTTTCACAGTATGCAAATTTAAACATAACATCAAAATCTATGAGATTTGGTTAAAACAGTGTTATAAGGAAAATTTAAAGCTATAAATGCTTATATTAGAGAAGAAGACAGGTCTAATCAATTATTCAGAATGCTACTTAAGGTAACTAAAATATTAGTCTAAATTAAATCTAAAGTAAATAGAAGGAAATAATGATAAAGATATAGGTAGAAATCAATGAGATAGAGATCAGAGAATGAAAATCAATGAAAATGAAAGCCAGGGCTTTGGAAATAATCATATACTTGATAAGCTTCTTGCTGGGCTGGTGGAGAAATGAAAGAAAAAAGAAATTCCCAGTATTGGGAATGAAAGAGGGTACATTATTTACTATACATTCTATGTATGTTTAAAGAATATTAAAACAACTTTATGTAAATGAATTTGGCAATTTAGATGAAATTGGTAAGTTTCTTAAAAGACAAATTATCATAACGTATGTGAGAAAAGATACCATTTGAATTTGTCTCTTTGTTTACAGAATTGTACACATAAAGACTGCTGTGACGCTAGAATATGTCTAATGAAAAAGGGTAAACAATGTGGTTCTGGGGAATGCTGTACACTAGATTGCAAGGTAAGAGGCAATCTATTTTATAGTAGCTCAGCATTAAATTTCTTGAAATACTTGTTTCAAAGAGATGCAAAATATGTCAATGCCTTATCAGTATATCATTATATTATATCCAAGCACATTGGACACTTCTTACACTGCAGTGCATTCAGTAATCTGTCATTTCCAGGATTCTCATGTACTTAATGCCTAATGATTCTTCTCTCCTGACTTATACTCACTGAGATATTTCTGCAATCAACATACATTTGAAACAACCCTCTTAAGGTCTTCTTTTCTTTTTTTAAATTTAAATTTAGTTAGCCAACATATAGTACATTATTAGTTTCAGATGTAGAGTCCAGTCATTCATCAATTGCATATAACACCCAGGTCTTATTTTCTAACACCATACCTCACATGATGTCAGGAAATTAGATTAGTTTCTGTTGTTGTTAGCTAAATTCTCTTCATTATCTTCTGGTAAAGTCTGCTGTTCCTTTGCAATTCAGTTATTGTTACAATCAACCAATCTCTCTTTATTGAAAGTATTTAAAGAATTCCTGAGTAATTGCCCTGTACCCAGACAATTAATTGGAATCCTAATGAAAAAAGAAACTCCTGAACAAAGTAAATGGCAGATATTCATAAGACTGGAGTAAGAATATGTTTTTATCTTTCAAATTTTTCCCCAAACTTTATTGAGATATAATTGACATATAACATTGTGTAAGTTTAAGGTGTACAATGTAATAATTTCATATAATTGTGAAATGATTGCAATAAGGTTAGCACACTTTACATAGCAACATTTAATAAGAAAGTTTCAAGAATGCAATACATTATTAACTTTAGTCACCATGTTATACATTAGATCCCCAGACTGATATATTTTATAGCTGAAAATTCATACCCTTGACCAACATTTTTTCATTTCTCCCACAGTTTTATTTCTTTCTTTCTGGTTTGGATGCCTTTTAATTCTTTTTTCTTGCCTAATTGCTCTGGCTAGGACTTCTAATGTTAAGTAGGAGTGGTAAGAATGGACAACTTTGTCTTGTTTTTGATCTGATAGGTAAAGATCTCAGCTTTTTCCAATTGAAAATTGTTAGTTTAGGCTTGTCATATGTAGCTTTTATTATATTGATATATGTTTGTTCTATACCCAAACTGTTGAGAGATTTTGTCATGAAAGTGTGTTGGATTTTGTCACTTTAGAGGATTACATGAATTTTACCCCTATTTATATTAATGGGGTATATTACTTTTATTGATTCCTGTGTGTTGAATCATCCTTGCATCCCAGGAATAACTCTCACTTGATTATGGTACATGATACTTTTAATGTGCTATTGAATTTTTTGTGTGTGTGTGTGTGTGTTTTTTTTTAAGATTTTATTTATTTATTTGACAGAGATCACAAGTAGGCAGAAAGGCAGGCAGAGAGAGAGGAGGGAAGCAGTCTCCCTGCTGAGCAGAGAGCCTGATGTGGGGCTCAATTCCAGGACCCTGAGATCATGACCTGAGCCAAAGGCAGAGGCTTTAACCCACTGACCCACCCAGGTGCCCCTTTGTTGTGTATTTTGTTGAGAATGTTTGCATCTATATTCAGAGATACTGGCCTGTAATTTTCTTTTCTTGTTTCTTTCCTTATTTGTCTTTGGTATATGGGTAAAACTGGCATTATAAAATGAGTTTGGGAGTGTTCCCTCCTTTTTAATTTTTGGAAGAATTGAGAAATATTAACATTAATTCTTTAAATATTTCATAGAATTCACCTGTGAACCATCTATTTCAGGTCCTTTCTTTGTTAGGAGGTTTGATAACAAATTCAGTCTCTTGTGTTTGATTTGTTCAAGTTTTCTCTTTCTTCGTGATTCAGTCTTGATAGGTTGTCTTTTTCTAAGAATTTATCCATTTCTTCTAAAGTATTATGCAGTTTGTAGGTAGGTAGTTGTTATAGTAGCCTCTTATGATAATTTGTATTTCTATGGTACCAATTTTAGTGTCTCCTCTTTTTTCCATAATTTTATATTATTGCTTCCACTCTCTCTTTCTTGGTTAGTCTAGCTAAAGATTTGCCATTTTATTTATCTTTTCAAACCCAACTCTTGGTTTAATTGATTTTTTTTCCCTTTTTTCTCTTTGGTCTCTGTTTTATTTCTGCTCTGACTTTTTTTATTTCTTTCCTTCTACTAACTCGGGGCTTAGTTTATTTTCCCTTTTTAATTCCTTTAGGGATAAAGTTAGGTTATTTGAGATTTTTTAAATATAGGCATTTATTGCTGTAAACTTACCTCTTAGAACTGCTTTTCCTATGTCCCTATGTTTTGGTATATTGTTTTTTTGTTTTTATTATTGTTTATTTTAAGATACTTCTCTAATTTCCTTTTTTTTCTTCATTGGTCCATTGGTTTTTAAGGAGTATGGTGTTAAGTTGCATATTTTGTGAATTTTTCATTTTTTCCCCCTGAGGTTTTATACCATTGTGTATGGAAAAGATAATAGATATTATTTCAATTCCCTTAAATTTCATACGACTTGCTTTGTGAGCCACAATATGTTTTATTCTGGAGAATGTTCCATGTGTGCTTGAGGAGAGTGTGTATTTTGTTCCTGTTGGACATAAAATTCTATATATGTCTTTAAGGTCCGTTTGGTCTGTAGTTTTATTCAGGCCTGCTATTTTCTCCCTAATTTTCTTTCTGATTGATCTATCCAATGTTATTAGTATTAGTAGGGCACTGAAGTCCTTTAGTATTATTGAATTGGTTTTGAAGTTCAGGGATGTCATATTATTTTTAATCCTTCACTTTGTTAATGTGATGCATCACATTTATTAAATTACATATGTTCAAACATCCTTGATTCTTAGTGATAAATCTTAATTGATCATGATGTATGATCCTTTTAATGTGCTATTGAAATTGGTTTGCTAGTATTTTATTGAGAGTTATTATATTTATATTCATCAGGCCTGTTCTTCAGGTCAAAATTACATTAGCATATAGTTTTCTTTTCTTTTGGTATCTTGGTCTGACTTTGGTATTAGGATAATTCTGGCCTCATAAAATGAGTTTGGAAGTTTTTCTTCCTATTCAGTTTTTTGGAAGAGATTGAAAAGAATTAGAATTAAGTACTCCTTAAGTGTTTGGTAGAATTCATCTGTGAAGCCATCTGATCCTGGATTTTCTATGTTGGGAGGTTTTTAACTGATAACTGATTTGAACTCTTTACTCATTATTGGTTTGTTCAGATTTTTCTATTTTTTTTTCATGATTCAATCTTGATAGGTCATTTCTAGGAATTTTCTTTATTTATTTTGACAGAGAGAGATCACAAGTAGGCAGAGAGGCAGGCAGAGAGAGAAGGGGAAGCAGGCTCCCCACTGAGCAGAGAGCCTGATGTGGGGTCCGATCCCGGGACTCTGAGACCATGACCTGAGCTGAAGGCAGAGGCTTTAACCCACTGAGCCACCCAGGTGCCCCTATTGGTTATAGTGTTCTTTTAAAGATTTATTTCATTATTTTAGAGAGAGAGTGTGCACATGTGTGCGCCAATGTGGTGGCGAAGGGGCAGAAGGAAAGGGGTAGAGAGAGAATCTCAAGCAGATTCCCTGCTGAGCTCAGAGCCTGATACAGGGCTCCATCTCATGACCCTTGAGATCATAACCTGAACTGAAATCAAGAGTTGGACGCTTAAAAATAATATGACTCTTCTATTGAAGAGTTCTTTTGGCCTTATATACATTTTCCTCTCTAGATTTGGCAAATTGTCATTATCTCTTTAAATAAACTTTCTGCCCATTTCTCTTTCACTTTTTCTGGGACTCCCATAGCACATATGGTGTTTCTTTTGATGTGTGCTCTAAGTACCATAAGCTTTCTTTAATCTTTTTTATCCCCCTCTTAACTGGATTATTTTAAATTATTGCCCTTGAGTTCACTATTTCTTCTGCTTGATCAACTGTGCCCTTGAAGTTTTTTAATGGAATTTTTCAGTTCAGTTATTGTTTTCTTCAGATCTAGAATTTGTTTGGTTCTCTCTTACTTTAAAAAATAATTTCTTTGTGAAACTCATTTTGTTCATGTATCATTTTCCTTATTTTGTTTATTTATCTATGCTCTCTTATCTGAGCTTAAGGTGATTATTTTTAATTTATTTGTCAGGCATTTTGTACATTTCCATTTCTTTCATCTGTATTCCACAAGAGCTCTGTTTTACTCCTTTGTTGGCATCATGTTTCCTTGATTCTTTATGTTTTTTGAAGACTTGCATTGCTGCCCTCACATTTGAAGAAGTAGCCGTCTCTTCCAATGTTTACTGACTAGCCTTGGGAGAGAAAGAAGCCAGAGACCGGTCAGCCCAGCTGGAATTTGTGTGTGGGGGGGTCTCTCAGACTTTTTTTTAATGGGTGTGGTTGTTCCACTCCTCTTCTGGGGTTGTTCCACACCTCCTGAGGGGCGATGTGTGGCAGAGATTAGGATTAAACACCTACTCTTCATCCCAGAAAGCCAGTCTGGCTATGGAGAGCCTCTCATAAATTTTCCCTGATGCAGTGCCCTAAAGTGTTCAAAGTTGTGCAATTCAGCAGAATCAAGCCAGGTGTTGATATCCGTGTTGTCTACAGGATTGTGCCCATTTGTTGGAGGCTCATGTGTGCCATCTGCTGGGGAATTTTGGGTTCTGGCTACGGGGTGTGAGTGTGGAGAATGGGGTATTGACCGGCTATTTGTGGGCATCCTCAGGTGAGGCATCCTATTGTTTTATGGGTGAGGCTCTTGCTGAACTCTGTAAGGCAGTTAATTGGACACGTGGCTCATTATTGTGATCCACACACTGGTTTCTGTCAACCCCCATCTCTTTTCCCTATTCCTAGGTGTCCCCAGACTATTTAAGTATGCCAAGTCTCTCAGTGTTCTGAATGGAGTGAGATAAAAGTAGTCTCTTGCACAGTGTTTTGCAAGGCTGGGGAAACTGTGTTCTCATCCCTTTTATTTTCTCTGTCAGAGAAATCACCAGCCAAGACGGTCTCTCTTGGCGTTGAGCTGTGCTACCTTGGGGAGGGAATAATGTGGCTAAAGTGAAACTGTTCTTCTTACCATCTTCCAATGCATCTATTATCATATTTTTTGCTTGACCTGAGGACTGGAACCTTTCAGCCAGATTATCTCATTCATGGTAGTTGTTAAAATAGGCATTTCTATGTGGTTATGCAGCCAGGAATCTCTGATTCTCTCCTCTTCTTTTCCATTACTAGGCACAATTTAGTCATAGTTATTCTTATGAAGTGTAACTTTAAAAAAATTAAACAATGTATCAAACACAGCAGTATAACAGACTACCGAATTGCCCATCCTTGCTGCACCAAAAAGGAATAATTTAAACAAGATTCATGTATCAACAGAGATATGTGAACAACTGCTGTTGCAAATGGAGTAGTAGTAATGATTCTCACTAGTCCTTGGGCCTGGTTATCAAAATGGAATTGGCCCAAACTATAAGCTGTCTGATATATATAGTACTGTCTTTACTATGCAGTCAAGGCTGGTGTGGTGGTCAGAGGCATTAACTTAACCTACCCATTCCTCATTTAGTTGTGTAAAGGGACATAGTCCTGACAATGAATTGCACCTTAAATATAGACACTGACAGTCTTGGGAAGAATAAAAATGAATTACAAATAAAATAAAAAACACCCAAAAAGATTTTAGGAGAAAACAATCAGAAAAGGGAGTCACCCATTTTTAAGTTTTAGGGCCATTTTGGAATTAGGGAACCAAGTAGAGAAACATGAACACCTCTTAATAAAGGAGCAAGTAGGATGATATAACTTGGTTCAAAGAACATTTGAGGAACAAGGTATTTATAAATATTGAAAAAGAAGTTGGGTGAAAGAATCCAATCTGAAAAGATTACATATTGTATGATTCCAAATATATGACATTCTGGAAAAGGACTGTAAAAAGGTCAGTGGTTGCCAGGAACTAAAGGGGAGATGAATAAGCAGAGCATGAAGGATTTTTAGGGCAGTGAAAATACTCAGCCTGATACCATTACAATAGATACATGTCATTAAACATATGTTTAAGCCCATAAAATGCCTAACAATGAGAAAGAAATTTCTTGTAAACAATGGACTTTGACTGTTTATGATGTGTCATGTAAGTTCATCAGTTGTAACAAACGTACCACTCCAGGTGGAGATATTGATAAAGAGGAGGTTTTGTATGTGCAGTGCAAGGGTTTTATGGGAAATCTCTGTATTTACCCCTCATATTTTCTGTGACAATTAAACTACTATAAAAAATAGACAAAACAATAGAAGAAATTATAATGAATGTAATACTGCCATTTATACATATTTATAAAAGGAAGCATATTTTAAAGAAACTGATATCAATACCTTTTCATTATACTTATATATATTTTCCTTTAGAAATAATTTTGATCATTGGTTTTGAATGTTAACTACATAAGCTTGGGTGACTCAAGTATTATGTTTTGTCTTCCCACCCATCACTTGAAGAATTTGTGTTAGAATTGCTATATAAAAAATACTTGTTGACAACATGGAAAAATGTAAAGAGAAAACCCATTTTCAGGGGTGGTGAATGTTACAGAAGTTGGGCTTCTAGGACCTTTGAAAGCTAGAACAAATTTAACTTAGTTTGTGTAGGATAATGTTGATAGCCAGGAGGAACTGGGGCTTAGGTTGAGGAAAAGGGCTTGCAGTAATGCTATTTGGAAGTTTTATTGGCAAAGACAGGTATACAGAAAGCAAATCCTGGAAAGACTTGGCTAGACTAAGTGCTGAAGAGATCATAGATGTATTATGGGGAAAGCTATTTTTTTAAGTTGTTTGCAATGAGATATGTGAAATAAACCTTTTCCTGTGTGTCCTTAAATTACCTTACAAACTTTTTTCTGAATGTTTATGATGTATACTTATTATTTTGTAATGGTTGCTGGTTTCTGCTTGAAGGGACAGCATAGGAGAAACCAGAGGCTGTCCACATGAGCATAGCCATGATGGGTTGCAAGTAGTTTTTTAAAGTAATTTCTATATTAATTGCTTAGGTTTAGTTTTTATCTTTCTTTTTTTTCAATAATTATGGTAGTCTACTTTGAATTTCTCAATTCTCTTACAAGAACTACCCATTCTTTTATCCACAGTAAATTTAATTATTTAAACTAAATTTAATTATTTAAATTTCTATGCAATGCTCAAGTAGTTATTAAGACTTAATTTTCTCCTTGCCTTTAGCAACTTAAAAAAAAATGAAAAATTAAAGCCTGAAGGGAAAGACAATTTGAGTATCATTGGTGCATAATCTTTTCTTATGTTCCTTTTTCCCTTCTAGCTAAAACCAGTTGGTATACAGTGTAGGAAATCTTTGGACGAATGCGATTTCCCTGAGTATTGCAATGGGGTTTCCTCACACTGTGTGCCTGACACTTATGCACGTGATGGACAAAGTTGTGATTCGGGTGATGCCTACTGTTTTGGAGGACGATGTCGGATACATAACAAACAGTGTAAAGATTTGATTGGAGGAGGTAAGGACCAAAACTTTCTTCTTAGTTCCTAAATTCTGATTATACTACGCTTCATTATTCAATTCTATAGGACAAAACGTAAATATAATTTGTTAATGAGTAAAGTCTTGTCCCTTAGTGTTAAAGGAAATAAAGTTTTTTGGAAAAAAACCTTAATTTATATGGAATTCTTGTTTGTAAAGGAAGAAACCTCAAGTGGAAATGTAACTTCTCAGATTATATAGAATTGGTGGTGATGGTGTTTAGTTTAGGCTTAAATGAAACAAAGTTTTTACTAGAACAAAGCAGGACTAATAACTAATTGTGTGGATTTCAAGTGTGGGTGTGTTGGAAGGGGCTTGCTCATGAATGAATATTTCAGTTTATGACCGGTCTAGTTCAGTTTGATACCTTCCTATAAATGTGTAGATCATTAGCTTCACTGAAATATACAATTTTCTGAACATACAGTTCATGTTCTTTGAGAGAGTAAAATGTTTTATTCTCAGTCCTCCCTTAAGGCCTTCCTTTGCCAGGTCATAGATATTGTGTACCTACCTAAGTATTATGCAAATCTATATGAATGGCAGGAATTTAAGGAGGAGATGAGGTAGAGGTTTTGGTGATATTATAATTTTGTTCTGCTTTTCTATCAGAATCATAGTTATGTTGTCTAACAAGACAATGGTGACAATATTTAAAACATAATTGAGACACAAGCAAATGGCCAGTAAAGTTAGGAGAAACAAAATTACTTCAGATCCATGATTTAGTGTTTTCCCTAAGTAAAATAGGGAAACTAAATTGCAGTGCTAGTCAGATAAATGTAGATCCATATAGTGGGATGCCAACTAGGTATATATACCCCAAGTTATTTATCTTGTTTACTGTTTCTTTAGTATTAGCAGTGATTTTTAGTGATTTAAAGCTCTCTGTGAGAACTACAGGTATTTAAGTACAGTCGTCTTCTCCCAAAGTATTAAAAATTTGTTGGAGATAAGTATAACATCTAAAGCATCTTGATTTTGAAGAAATGTCTCTCCAGTCCTAGTGACTACTTGTGTTAATGCATTTAGGAAATGGTAAGTCTGGGCCCGACTAGCAATTAGCTTTTGTATTTATTTTTGAAAATCAATCAGATTTTGTGAGCCTTCTACAGAGCTTGGGGGCAAAAGGAAATTGAAAATTTTGGAGTTGAACATTTTTCCTCAACCATAACTGTATTTCAATCCAAATGAACTAAAATTCTTTGACTAGGTCATCTGTGATCTGCCATGGACACTGGTTAACCAGAATGTTCTTGAGTAGGGCTTAATAGAATTCTGAAGAAGTCATTAGCTTTCCAAGATAAGAGTGATACATGATTTATAGGTAACAGCCAATAAAATCTTATTCACAGACCTAACACATATCATTATGTGCCACTAAATTATTAGTTTCTGGCCAAAATATGCTTATAGGGTAAAATGTGTCCTTTTTTAAGTTCCTTAGCAAATTTTGTTTTTGTAGGAGTGTAGCTCCTGTGGTAGTCTCTTCAGTGTTATTTCTACACATGCAGAAACTTAGCATTTAGGTATAATATAAAATGATAAAGTTTTAGTATCATTAATTTGTGGTGATGTTTATCCTTTAAAAGGTAGGAGGTCTCATTAGTTGTAAAGTCACATACATTATTAGGGATATTTGTCACCAAATTAAGTTGGGTGCACCTAGAGGAATGTGGGTACAAACCCAACAGTCACATCAAAGTTTCTCAGTGGCAACAGTATTGATATTTTAGGCCAGATAATTCTTTGTTGTGAGAGGTGGGAATAAGGAAAATTGTTCTGTCCCTTGTAGTACATTTAGCAGAATTCATGACCATTGCTTACTAGACACAATGCCTGCAGACATTTTTGGTTTTTACAACTGGGGCAGAATTGTTACTGGCTTCTAGAAAGTAAAAGTCAGGTATTCTACTAAACATTCTACAATACACAGAACAGTTCCTAAAACAGAGTTATCTGGCTCCCCACAAGAGGCCATCTTATTAATTGCTTTCTGGATGTTTTGTAGTTTCATGGGAAGAAAATATTTATGAATCATGTATCTGATAAGAAATTAATATCCAGAATATATAGAAACTCCTAAAACTCAACAACAAAAAACAAATAGTTCAATTCAAAAATGGGCAAAGAATTTGAATAGGTATTTCTCCATATACCTATCTCTCAACATTACTAATCAGTAGGGAAGTGTAAATCAAAATCACAGTTTCACACTCATTAGGATGGCTACCAAAAAAACCCACACAAAACTCCACCCAAAAGATGGGTGAGTATGTAAAGGAATCGGAACCCTTGTGCACTGTTGGTGGGGATGGAAAATGATATAAGCTGCTGTGAAAAATAGATGGTTGTTCCTCTAAAATTAGAAATAGAATTACTATATGACCCAGCATTCCTATTTATGAGACTATAACCAAAAGAATTGAAAGCACTGTCTGGAAGAGATATTTGTACACCCATGTTCATAGCAGCATTATTGAGAATAGCTAAAATTTGGAAGTAACCCAAGTGTCCATCAATAGATGTATGGAAAAAGAAAAATGTGGTATATACAAACAATGGAATTTTATTCTGCATTAAAAAGGATAGAAATTTTGCAATATTCTACAACATGGATGAATCTCGAGGACAATTTTGCTAAGTGAAATAGCCAGTCACAAAAACACAAATACTCTATGAGTCTATTGATCTATCTGATAGTCAAAATCATAGATATAAAAAATATAATGGTATTTGGGAGGAGAAGGAATGGAGAGTTATTGTTTAATAAGTATAGCATTTCAGTTTTACGAGATGAAAAATTATGAATGGATGGTAGTGATGGCTACACAACATGAATGTATTTAATACCATTAAACTGTACACTTAAAAATGGTTAAGATGGTAAACTTTATTTTGTGTGTATTTTAACACAATAAAATTTGTGGAAAGAAAGAAAAACCAATTCATTTTATATGTAGACATTATCTATTTTTAATATTATTTAAAATAACTCAGCTAAAAAGCCTTTTTTTAAAAAGATTTTATTTTTATTTGAGGGAGAGAGTGAGAGAAAGCATGAGCCAGGGGAAGGGCAGAGGAGAGGGAAAGTAGACTCCCTGCTGAGCAGGGAACCCTACATGGAGCTCGACCCCAGAACCCTGAGATCGTGACTTGAGCCGAAGTCAGACACAGCCTACTGAGTCACTTAGGCAACACAGCTAAAAGATTTTTAAAGCTTCATTGCAGTATTTCCTTACTCTGAAGCCCATTAGCTCTTTTAACATCATGTTTTCTGTATTTACATCTAAATCTTTAATATCTTAAAGATTGGGAACCATTTTTCTCCATCTTCTGTTCTTCCTTGAGTGTCTAAAATTGACCTGGTATATAATAAATATATGTGGATTTTTTATTAGAAGGGAGGCACAAAAAGGATGGATTCCTTATGCACCATAGTGCTGGCAATACTGTCTTTAGCATTTTGTGGAAGGGAGGTCTAGTGGTCATGAACTCATTTAACTTTAGTCTGGAATGATTTTATCTCCCTTTAATTTCTGAAGGGCAGTTTTGCTTGATAGAGTATTCTTTGTTGGCGGCTTTTTCTTTCAGTGCTTTGAATATCATCCTGCTGCTTTCTGGACTATAAGATTTCTGCTGAAAATTCCCTCACAGACTTATGGGGGTTCCATTGTATGTAAGAACTCACTTTTTTCCCTACTGTCAAATTCTCTTCTTGTCTTTGAATTTCTACAATTTTATCATAATGTGTCTTGTTATGGATTTCTTTGGGCCCATGAGGTTCTTCGGTCTTTCTCCAGCTGGATATCCATTTCCTTCTTCCAACTGGGAAGTTCTTTAACCATTATTTCTTTGAAAATGCTTCCTGATCCTTTCCTTCTCTACTCCTCTCCTAGAACTCTCATAATGCATGTATTAGTGCCATTGATGGTGCCCCATAAGTCCCTTAAGTCACTCTCATTCTTTTATCTTGTTTGCTGTTTTTAATATTTTCCAGTAACCTCTTTTTGAGTTCACTGATCATTCCTTTGCTTGATCTAGTCTGTTATTGAACCCCTCTAGTGCATTTTTCAGTTGTTGGTGTGTTGTCAGCTTCATGATTTCTGTTTGGTACTTGGGGCTCTGGATGAATGGATCAAGTCTTTGCATCTCAAGGGGGAAGCTGAGAGCTCGGATTATTTATCCACTCACTTGGTGGTGAGCAGGAGGAGTACCACTGATGAGTACTAACTCAAGCTACCATCCCTATAGTGCCTGGACAGCCAGACATCATCAGAGCTACCAGAACTGGCAATATAGATTCCAGGTCTTTGGGTAGCCCCCTTGAAAATGTACCCATATTGGACCTCCAAGCAAATCCTTCTTTCCTGGGTGAAGAGAAAGCTAGATGGTCTCTTCCTGCTTGTAAGACTGCACTGTGGTAAGTTTGCTGATGAAAGGGTGTCTCGAGTCTGCCTACTGGCTTTGATGAGTCTGGTTTTGCATTCTCCCAGAGTAAGGAATTCTTTCATTTAATTTAGAGTTCATCACAAAACTAATCCATGAATTGAAGCTGAATCAGTGAATTTGTGAGTGTGAAGGAGAGTCCAGGGCTTCCTACACTGCCATGTTGCTTGTGTTTTTTTCTCTCTGATACATCTTTTCCCTCCAACATTATTAGGATATAATTGACATAAAATCCTGTGTAAGTTTAAGGCATGCAACATGTTGATTTGATACATTCATATATTGGAAAGTGATTATCACATGGCTTGGTTAAACCTCCATCCCGCCATATAATTGCCCTTTCTTTTTTGTGGTGAGAATTTTGAAGATTTATTTTCTCAGCAACTCTCAAGTATATAATATGGTATTTATTAGCTATAACCAACATATTGTACATTAGATCTCCAGAATGTATTACTATTATAACTGGAAGTTTGTACCCTTGACTAATATTTCACTATTTTTACTACACAAAGCCCCAAACTTCTC